CCATTAGAGAGAGAGAGAGAGAGAGAGAGAGAGAGAGAGAGAGAGAGAGAGAGGCGAAGGAAATGAGTGGGGGATTGGAAGATACGTGTAAGTACATATAATATAAACACAACCGCGTGGGGGCAATGGAAACACAGAGCGTGGGATCAACAAAATTAAAATCTTAGGTTTTCAGTTTCAAAAATCTTTTACCAGACACAGATCTGAAAACACTAATATGAAATATAATTATGTTTTATAAAGAACGTTTTTGTTCTTTAGATCTTTTATTTTCAGATCACCCACTAAATGTAACATTCTTGAATTTTCGAATTTTAAAATTTTAGTTTAAATATTATTTTGGTGCATGTTTAAAAACTTCCTTAGAGGTTGAAGTGCTTCTAACTTTTGTTAACTTTAGTCCATGAACTTTTGAATCATTTTTCTTGGTCTCTATAGTGACGGTTTAGGCCCCTTCATTTTCATTTTCATCTTATTTTTTAATTCATAATTTTAACATAATACTTTATTCACTACTTTTCTTTGAAATATAATCATTAACTTATATTATTGTTTTTACTGTATAAAATTTATGTTACATAAAATAAAGGTTTGAAAAATATATATATAATAAAATGAATAAAAAATAAAAAATATAGGAATCAAAATAGACACAAAATAATATTTAAACCTAATTTAGGTGGTATATAATTAAGTGTATGAAAATATTTAGTTAGCGCCTATTTTGCTGTTGAATTTCATAGCGCTTTTATTTTAATAAAAAAATAGAAAAAATATTTCTCTTATTGTTGTAATTATATCTATGGCAAGGGGAGGATTCCAACGAGGCAAAGCGTCGGAATAATATTTGGGAAACTGGGGGACAGAGATGGGGTATGGTACGGTAATGAAGTGGCAGAAAGATAAATAATCTTCCAAAAAATAAATTTGGTGACTACATGATAAATATATTATACCATATTATTAATCTATTTCTTTCTTTTTTAAATCAAAACATAATATTATAAAATGTATAATATTGTAAAATAGTATTTATACTAAATTTATAATAAATCAATTAATATTATTTTAGATTTAAGCTAGTCCATAGCTTGCTACTAATTTACAAATATATTACTATGAATAATTTTTTAAATTGAGATTCAATATATGTTACCAAATATCGAAACAATTATGTTTTTATTGAATCCGATGTTTTAAAATTTTTGCTTTCGGATAAACCTTGCAATCGTACCAAAATCTAAAACTTTCGACACTATAGAAGTATATATATTCATTCAATTCATTACTTGTCACATATAGTTTTATAAATGTTTTTAAAAGAAAAAAAATATAGTGTAAATAGGGAGAGTGTGATATATATAGTGTAATATTGAATTTTTTTTGTCAGTGGCTAAGTAATGAAATCAGATCTGTGGAAAAGGCAAAGTCAAAGAGGGTTTTGAAATTCTGTGCCATAAATGTCGATCCCAAGACGGTGCAAGAATGCCACGTGGCAGTCATGGCCTCTGCCGCCTGTCTTTCTAATTTTCCCCGATTTGTCTTTTCTTTTTCTTTTATTTATGTAATTTCGCCTAAATACATGTTTTAAATGTTTTCAAAATTCTTCAATTTTTTTTAGTACGAACTCACAGTCCTGGTCGAAATTAGATTTTAATATTTTTTAATTTAATCTGTAAATATTAAAATCGGTGAATAACACATATAAACAAGAGAAGCAAGTTCAAATTCCTCATATAAAGAATTGATAGAATATTTGAGTTTCTCCTTTTCTTTTTTTCTTTTAACAACATTTTTTCTCTTCTAAATTTAAATCAATTAACTAAGTATCATTAGTCAATTTGGAGCACGGGAAATATTAAAATAGAAGAACCTAAATTTAATCATCTAAATTGAAGAGAAAAAGAATTTCCAAACATTTAAACCGTATATTTAGTCTACAAATTTAATTCTAATTTTAGTTTTAAACTTCTGCACATTTCGTCTTTAGAATTTCAGAAAAGTTCATATTGGTTTCTAAACAACTTTTTTATAAGGTTATTTTGATTCTTATTGTTTTTTTTTATATGTCCGAGCCAGTTTACGTACACCTCAATTAGTCTCACAAGACCGGACAACYGCCTGACCTACTTAAAAACACATAAGAATTATTAATTACTAAGGTACTTAACCATCATGAGATTTGTTGTCTGTTATTTTTAGTGTAAATCAACTTCTTTCCTATGTCTTATTTCTAAATCTTACACAATGAATAAGAGAAAACACCCATATCTAATCTCTTAGGTTCATGTTTGGAGTAAAATCATTTTGACTTAAAAAATGTACTTATATTTGATATTAACTTTCACAAAATTCAATATTTAAACAAGTTTAAWACTTTATTTTTCCCTCTAAAATTTAACAGCGGAACCAATACAATTTTCAACTCTATGAACCTAGGCTCCTCAAATTTGCATGGTAAATAAAGATCATCCCTCACAATTCTACTTGCGTTGTTAATTTCTATCTAAATAAAAAAAGAAAAAAAGAAAAAAGACAAGGGTGGTTATTTAAATATAATATGACATTATTGATTTATAACAATAATTAATAATATCATAACTTTCTATTAGATTGGATTTTATTTTTCAAAATGCACAAGGTTTGGAAAAATCGAAGAGTATTTGTTTATTTATATATTAATATTGATCTTGAAAGTTGAAAATGTGGAAGTTTGGTGAGCACGATGGCAATGGGCATGGAACTTTGGAAGCTGTAAGATAGCGACGGTCTTCACATATTTGACAAAGTCAAAAGGAAGAGCATAAAGTCTAAGATTCAAACTCCAAGAGGAGATATTGAATTGAATTGCTGCACCTAACTTTGAATTTCATTTATTTAAACACAAACCCACACGAATTTAACGTTTCCAAATCTTACCTAAACACAATAAATAAACACACCGAATCTTATATTAAGCTAGAAAAAATCTTTTATAATAATGCTTTTTTTTTTCTTTGTTTTCTATAATTTTAAATATTATGTTTTTTTTCCACGCACAGCTCAATTAGTCGAAGTATATATATTACCGATAAAGAGACATAATAGAGACCTCTCTTGTTCTTGTGGAGGCGATTTTCGGAGAGGATCCTTATTTTTTTGTTGGTTTATGTGATGGTGGACAATGGTCGGGTGTCGAATATAATATCTCCTCGTTGAATGCAGATAGTGCTGTTGTGGCCAACAAAATAAAAAGACAACATTGTTACGTATGACCCGTAACTTCGTCATCAAGACATTTTGAAGAGTTATCAAGCACAAAATTAGATAGACCACCCACTTGCGATTTCTTGGAGAACTTCATCTTCGTTGCATCTTGATTTAGAGAACTTCATGTCATGGTGGGGAATAAGACAACTTTGGAGGCAAATATTTCCTTTCCAATCTTAAATAGAGGTGCCACAATTGACAAGAACCCTTCATTAATTGAGGAGTTTCCCCCAACATTATTGATTGAGATTAAGGATGTTGTGACTTTAGTAAAGGTGTTTAGTGGGTTAAAATTTGTTTATATTCATAGTTCTTTGAACAGACAAGTTGTTTTATTGGGCAAGTGTCTTATTTCTGATCGTTTCTCCGTCCTCTGTGATAGTTGCTTTTCTTTGTGGATTCTGATTGTGTTGCATGGTCACCCATTTTTCCATCTAATCTTTAGTGATTGTGTTTTTCTTTTTAATGCAATGTTTCTCTGTTGAAAAAAAAATTAAATCTCACATCATGTGGTTGAACTTTTCAATTCTCCGTTAAAGTTCTTTCAATTTTTGCTATTATGTTTTTTAGTATAACTGATTGAGAATTGATATATGTAATAACAGGATTTTCTATTTTGAGCTATTTCGATTAGCCATAGAATTGATTTTAATAATGTGAAGTTTATGGTTTTATGGAAAGTCAAAACATATAGTTTTAAAATAACCATGCTTTGTTATTTATAACTATTAACTACAAACTAAAGTGTTTTTATATAATAATAATAATAAATATCAATCATATATTTGAAATACCATATTTGGAGTGACAAAAATTGATATTCAATATAAAAACAATGGCTATATCAATAGTTAATATTAATTGATATTCAAATTATTTCTTTCAGATGCAAACTTTTATTGTTGGATGATACATGTAAATTATTCAATAATAATAATAATAATAATAATCTACACAAACATATCAAGTTATAAACACAATGTACAGGACTCAAAACTCTAAATTTGATTAACGAGTATATATAGATTATTTCATTGTTAGTACTAGTAGCTGATCTAAAATCTTTGGTTTTAGTTAAGATCAAAATCATCTAATATCATTATTCCTTAATTCAAATAGGTTGTCTTATCTTTATAAATAAATAATTACTGGTTACGATTAATCAATAGCGTTTGTAGTCCAACGGTTAGGATAATTGCCTTCCAAGCAATAGACCCGGGTTCGACTCCCGGCAAACGCATTTTGTTTATTCTTTTTAAATCTATCGGACTTTTCTACCGCTTGGAAGGCTTCGTCCAAACGTTGGCGCTTTTTGTGGCCTGTATTTGTTTCTGGTTCTGAAATATCAACCATAAGAGAGAACCAGACATGGAAATGGATCAATACAACACATTTTAATATTTCTCAAACTTTTTTTTTCTTTTTTTCTTTCTTACGTGAAAATGGGAATCTGTTGTGTTGGGCTTCAATTTTCTTCTCAACATTCGCCCTGTTTCGTTCTGAAGGTGATCACACTCTCTTTAAGTCCATAACCCATGTCAATTATTTTCTAATTTACTTGCTTTTGCCCTTTGCAGAGTCCTAAATCATCGTCACCCATTGGTAGAAGGAAGTTCTTGCTATCCTCTCAACTTCTTCCTAATCCGTTCCTCCAAATTCTTGGCACAGACCACTCTTTTCTCCACTATAACATCTCAAGCTCCCGCTCAGTGAGGTTTCCAGCAAAACCCATTTCTTCGGAGGCTTGGGATTTTGGCAGGTTTTTGAGAACACTCTACTTTTTCAACGTACCACCATCTCCTGCCAAGGTCGGGTTATTTTCTTAATTTTTATGGTTTTTCTGAATTCTTTCTTGATCAATTGACTGAAACTTGATTTTGGTAATGGTGAAGTTCTTCGAGTCTCTGATTGCTAAACTGTCGGGTCCATCACCAAGCAAACCCGTCGAAGAAATGGAAACTTCTGGGTTCATTCTCGTGGCTGGAGCAACGGGTGGGGTCGGTAGAAGGGTGGTTGATATCCTGAGGGAAAAGGGGTTGCCAGTCCGAGCTTTGGTATAGTAGCTTTCCACTTTCACTTGATTAATCTTTCATTTGTTGTGCTTTCTTCTTACACATTAAAACTGCATTCTATCTGGTAGCACATTTGATAAAAGACGGAAAAGTAATGACGATCATTTCGTTGTTTGTTTATTTCGTTTTCTCAACAGTTTCCACATTTTTGTTGTAATCAGGTCAGAAATGAAGAGAAGGCAAGGAAGATGCTAGGCCCTGACATTGACTTGGTTAGTTAAATCACCGCATACTGATCCAAAGTTTTTCTTGATACTTCTTGATTTATCGGTTAAGCTTTTGCCCTTCCCTTTATAGTTAATTATGAGTAAGTCTTGACATTCATGCATGTTTGTAGTGGTAACTGGGTAGGAAAGGTTTTCCAAATGACATCCAATTGATGGTGAAATTCTAACGATATGCCCAACCATCTGATTTCTGGTGATGGTTTTATTTATTCTTCAAGTCATTTATTGGTTATCAGTTCGATTGCAGAGAAAACGAACTTAACCGAGCCTGCCGTGAAGTGAAAAGAAAAGACATGTCCTAGGAAGTTGGCTCATTGATTCTTAATCGTTTGGCATTTCTTCAACTGTTTCCAATTGATATGACCCACAAAAATGTCGTATTTTTCTTTCTTTCTCACTTCACCTCAACCAGCTCTATCAGGTGTATCCTATCATCTCATTTAGCTAGATATGAACTTTTAGCCATTAAACTGAACTTGTCTGAAAACCAGATGACCATATGGTACACGCACTGAAGTTACACGAAATGATAAGTATAAGAATACTAGTTTTTAGTACTTCACAATAGGTAGGTAGTATCAATAAGAAATCACATTCTTCTTAGGGAATGCACTGCATAAGAACTCTGTTTTTCTTGAATCTGTTTCAAGTACCTCTAAATCATTTTCCTCCCCTTGAAATATCAGATTGTTGGGGATGTTACAAAGGGGAGCACTTTGGCACCTGAGAACTTTAAGGGAGTGAGGAAAGTTATTAATGCTGTCTCCGTCATTGTTGGGCCAAAGGAAGGAGACACTCCAGACAGGGCAAAGTATAGCCAAGTATGTTTACTGATGCTTAAGATAATAATTTTTCTTTTCCTTATATTTATGGCAGTAGTCGTATTAATATTTTAAACTTGGTTCTCACCATTTTTCAGTTTCATAAACTTCTGGTTTCCACAATCTGTATGCTAGACTTTCATATTTCTGCAGAAATTTCTGATCCAATATTTGATATGGTGCAGGGGATCAAGTTCTTTGAACCTGAGGTGACAAGCTAAATGCCTTCATTATTCTCCGTGTCAGATTTCAGTTTAATTTGGGAGTTGAAACTGAAATTTACTTGGTCATATGTTGTAATCAATGTAAGAAATGATGCTTACTGGTTAAGGTTAATTTCATAATTGACAAATGCAGATCAAAGGTGATTCGCCAGAAATGGTGGAATTTATTGGAATGAAAAATTTGATCAATGCTGTGAAGAAAAGTGTTGGACTTCGAAATGGAAGGTTACTTTTTGGATTTGAAGGTACACTTTTTGGACTTGATAGGCAAAGGGACAAGACACAAGGAGACACATGGAACATGTTCCGGGAGTAATTGAGTTTACACTTTGTAATATGCAGGAAACAATCTCAAAGAAATTCCTTGGGGTGCTTTAGATGATGTGGTGATGGGTGGAGTGAGTGAAAGTTCGTTTCAAATTGACTTGAAAGGTGGCGAAAATGGAGGACCAACTGGAGTATTTAAAGGTTTCTTCCATTAAGCCTTTAGACAGTGTAGCAGTCCAAGATTACCTCACTGTTAATAGAATGAACAACATTGTGATCAAGAATCTATGTTTGGATGCATCTGCTTCAGGTGTTGTTTCAACTGCAAACAATGGTGGCTTTACTAGTGTCCGGACAAGGGTAATTTAAATATTCTGAATATTTCTTTTGCCCATGCTTTACATTGTCAGATATCTAAATCTAATGCAGTGGCCTCTTTTCGTACAGAATGCTCCACGGTTGTTCTTAAGTTAACAATTGGACCAGAAACAACTCTATAAAAACTCATGTCCTAAATGACAAAATTCTGTCGCATAAAGTTAAGAACCATTTGTTAACACCATTACCAAGGAGCACGTAGCATAAAAAATCATGTTTTCATTTTCAGTAGCATTTGAAGTACTATTATATTTCCAACTTTGGATTGCATCACGTTTTTTTTCTGCTGTATTAGGATGAAGGACCCTATAAGGTTGAACTGAACCATTCCTTAATCCTCTTTCTTTTTCCCTATCTATGCGTATTATAAATGGGAACTAATGTTCTTGCTTCTTAAGCTTGACCTTCGGATGAGATTTTCCTTTCCCTTCAGTTTCTTCTCTGAGCTCTCTAAAATAAGGATGTTGCTCGGCTCCCTTACATCCCCTGATCTAATGTCAGAGTTCTGCTGTGTTTTGTATTTATACAGAATTTTTCTGTACCAGAAGATCTATCTGCTTATGATGGATTGGAGTTGCGTCTCAAAGGAGATGGTCGTCGGTATAAGCTGATTGTGCGTACCAGCACAGATTGGGATACTGTTGGTTATACAGCCGGCTTTGACACTGCAAAAGGCCAATGGCAGTCAGTGAGTAGCACCATTTCTCCTAGATGGGGCTTTTTACGGACAATCTAACTACCAATGACTGATTATGTTTCCTGTTCCCTCAAATACTCAGATTCGTGTGCCATTTTCCTCTTTGAGGCCAATATTTCGAGCTCGAACTGTCACAGATGCCCCACCTTTTGACCCTAGAAATATTATATCACTTCAGGCAAGATTACTTGTTTTCTTTTAGTTCAATCTCATCTTTTCCCTGCATAATTTTCTTTCACATCTTCTGATGAATCGTATATCATATGTAGCTCATGTTTAGCAAGTTCGAGTATGATGGGAAACTCAATCCAACTTTTGTGGAAGGTGCATTTCAACTTCCATTATCATGTATACGGGCGTATATAAAGGATCCTATAACTCCCAGGTTTGCCAAAAAAGAAACCATATTTCAGGACTCCTTAACTGATTTTGATCTGTTTCCGATTTCTTATACAGTTCCTGTGTCTGTTTGTTTACTGTATAGGTTTGTCCATGTGAGTTCTGCTGGAGTTACGCGACCCGATAGGCCTGGGCTTGATCTCAGCAAACAACCTCCTGCCGTCCGCTTGAATAAAGAATTGGATTTTATTCTTACATTCAAATCGAAGGTTTAAGACTAATTCTAAATTCATGCAATCTTCTAGAATTGGCCAGATTATCCAACTTCCACATGTTAGTTTCAGATACTTCTGTTCTTATGTTTCATTTTCTTTCAATACTGAAAAATTCTTCGACAGGGAGAGGACTTAATTCGGGAAAGCGGAATCCCATATGCAATTGTTAGACCTTGTGCGTTAACTGAAGAACCTGCTGGTGCAGATCTCATTTTTGATCAAGGAGATAATATTACGGTACCACAATAACTGCTGATGTATAGTGTTTAGATTTTACAGATTCCTATCAATGAAATGTGCAATCATCAGATATTCCTGCCCATCCCAACAGAAGATTAAGATGTGTCAAACACTCGTTAATTTCCTGGTTCTCAAATTGGTAAATATATATTTCTTATGATGTTTTTTTTCTCTTTTTACACAGGGTAAGATATCGAGGGAAGAGATCGCTCGTATCTGCATCGCTACTTTGGAAAGTCCATATGCATGTGACAAAACGTTTGAGGCAATCCTTCCCTATCTCTCTCTCTCTCTATTTTATTCTATTTTCTTAAGTGATAAAATAATCTTAGTTGCCTTTTTCCTTTATCTATGATCTACCTCATATTCCATGTACAGTTAAAGCACATGTCTAGAGACACGCACCCACACATACACGTGCACAAAAGGAAAGTAGAAATAGATAAAGAAAGTGCAATGCCTTTGCATTCAGATAGGAATTTTTATCTCTACTGATTGGACTGAAGATGAGTGACCACAAATAAAACAGTATGTTGAACCTGGGATTTTGACTATATGGATGATCCAGTATAGTTATAAATGTTGGACAACAAGCATTCGAGTTTTTAGTGATTACTATTATTCTTTTTCAGGTTAAAAGTGTGATTCCATTTAGTGAGCCATTCACTGTGGACCCTGAGAACCCACCCCCAGAAAAAGACTATAATATTTACTTCAAAACCTTGAAGGATGGCATTACTGGGAAAGAACTCCTTGAGCAAACTCCTGCTCCAGTTTGATTCCTTTTTGAAACGTATTCTACAGAAAGCATTGTTGGGTTCATTTTTGGTAGACCAGATTTGGTAGGGACTTTAAAAGAAAAGCTAAATGTATGTATGATCTTTTCTGCAACTTTACTGATTAGAGGTCACAGTATTTGTGTATGACAGCAAACTGTCCACTGTTAAACAAGGTGCATGGAATTTTATAGATTGCACCTCTTCTGTAAGATTGTTGTCTTTTATGAGTAACCTTAGATAAAATTTTATTTAAAAAACTTCAATCGTATTTGTCGTTCACTAATATGTTTGATCCTGTAATTTTAACCCAAACTTTGGATTTTTTTTTGTTTGAGAAAAACCTAAACGTTGGATTATTCGAAATACTCGCTATAATCATAGGATACAGATTTGAAATATGTTTTGTAATTTCTCTCTCGTTTACTTGGAGCATGCACGTTTAAGTATTGATTCTACCTCTACATGGATGTGTGGATTAGTGGATCAATCTTCTTAATAGATGTGAAGGAAATTGGAAACAGGGAGAGATAAATTAAACATGGTCTTTCAACAAAAAGAAAGATTCGATTCCTTCAATAGTTTTTTCTTAGATGGGCAGATGCAAAACATGAGCCTATATTTCCTGATTCGATGCTTCAGATGATCATCAGAGAGATTTACTTTGAATCTGATATTGCTGCATTATTTTAGAGTGAAAGTGATAGACGTGAGTGTTCATGTCAATGTTCATTGGCATGCTCGTTGGTAACAAGTCAGATCTCCACCACTTAGGTTGACAGAGAATTGGGTAAGAACAATACTTAGGTACTTACTGGTTAACACTCATGTTGATAATGCATTCACCTCTCGAGTATATCAAACTCTCAATCTCGTTATGAATTAATTTTAAATCGAGTAATTTTCTTGATAAAAATAATAATAAGAGAAATTTTCATTTTTTATCACTAAAAAGTTGTATTAATTTTCACCCTAAACTTTCAATTTGACAAAATTAACCCTTAAAGTGTTGTAATTTTTTTATCATCTATTTAGTTTCTTCTAATTCACCCACTAATTCTAATAAAAAATAATGTAAAAGACTCGCCAATTTAATGAAAGTAAACTTTGCTCAAGATTGAGTCTGATTACTGCACCACCCTTAAAGTCTCATTTTGATTTTGTCTAAATAGTTTAGGTGAACATTCATCAAAATTTAAGGTGCGGTTTTATGAAATTAAAAGTCTTAATATACTTGGCCAAATCAGGTTAAAATTGATATTTACAACAAAAAAAAAAATAAAAAAATTCTGAACATTCCTTATAAAAGAAAAGACTTTTCAATACATGGTTAAAAAAAAAGACTTTTAATACATATCATGATCTATTCTGGCCTTACGAGGCAGGGTGGGTTGAGTTGAATAGTTTGGAACTATTTGTTTTATAATTATGTAATAGGATATATTTTGCAGCTCGAATAATTTTTACTTTTTAGACATTAAATTAAAAATAATTTAATACGATACTTTTATAGTCATCCAACTATTTAAATAAATTATTTTCTAAAAATACATTAAAGAATAAAAAAAAACTAAACAGAACTATTAAGTGAAATGAATTAAAAGATATAACATATACCTCCCGGTTTAAATACTATTTCAATCCTATATTTTTAACTTTAGTTCATTTTAATTTATGTATTTTGAAACGTACTTTTTTTTTATCATTGTACTTTTAAAAAGCGATCATTTTGTTTTTATTTTTATCTCATTTCTTCGAATGACAATTTTTGCATGACACTTTACTAACTGAATTTCTTGAAATACGAACGTAAATTTCTATTAAAAAGATTTCCATTTTGTATAAAATTTGTTTTAAAATTTTATAAATATGGATCAAAATGGTCACTTATTAATTAAAAATACAAAGATCAAATGAATGTTTTGAAAGTAATATACTAAATAAACAAAAGTAATATCAAAGGTGTAACATGCAACCATTTGGATTGAGTTGATTGGATACTTTTATATTCTTATAGGCACAAAAGTCAACGAAATTTTGAGAGAAAAAAAGAAAGACTCATTTTAAGGCAATTTATTTATTTTCCATGAAATATAGAAGGTTAGAATATAATGAATGTGCAACATGTATTGCTTGTAAGAATGAATTTGGGTAATATATTAATTGAATCAATTAAAATAAGAAGAGATCGAATGGACATTTAGGATTTCAATCGTGAATAAAAAAAATGATATGTTTAGGCAAAATCATCGGAATATATTAATTACAAAACCCATGTGTTACTCTCTTTAGCTTTGGGCATCACACATGAAGTTCAAACTTGTCTCGTACAATTTTACTTTATTTAGTTAGTAAAATGGATGGCTACAAAATTTTGTTTTTCCTTCTTATAAATATTGCAATGACAACGATGTTCTTCTTTAATATTTTCTCAACTTTTGATATTATCCACATTTTAGACTTCGAGTTCATAAGATTTTCTAACTTTAGAGTTCTTACGATTGAGTTACCGAAAAAGAAAGTGTACCTTGTTAGCATAGGTAGTAACTAAGAATCTTTTTAAGAATTTTTCCTAATCATGCTTCCATTGTCTCAGGATCCCTCTCATTTGGTTCATTCATGTACCATTCCTCTCTAATCAAACATCACAGTTCATGTCGACAAAGTTCATAAAAATTATATTTTATAAATTTCATCCAAAAATATCACATTAGGTATTAATGGAATAATATCATAGATCATTTTCATTTCTAACTAATATAAGATGGATATAGTAGAGTATTTGTAACCAGAGGGTATATGTCTCTTAAATCTCGATAGATATTTTAAGTTAATAATTTTATTGATTATACTAACTGTTGATGCAAGATTCTAGTCCCGATTACATGTCAGTAGGTGATTCGAGGTGGACTCTGATGTGGGCTAACGAGCAACCTGCAAATAGGAGATATTGTACCAGTGTGGTGTTTAGCCACACATACACAATGGGAGCTTAGCACTTAGCATGAGCTTGCGTTGAATTGAACTTAGTTGAAAGCAAAGAAATTGTGTAACTTTGAGAAGGTGAGACTTTGACCTTTTATAGCTAGGTGAGTATTGAGAAATGTAGCTCTATCCCATTGACATTTTGCTGACTCTCAACAGATTCTCTGCCTATGTAAAGCGTCCCCAATTTTAGGCACGTAAGTCACTTCATCCTCGTCTTCGACTCAAGCTCAAGCACACGTATTTCAACAAGAGCAGACAACACTCCATTTTACCCTTTTAACACTAACCATGAACCTGTTTTTGTTTTTTTTTCCCAAATAAAATTCAAAAAGTTGGGTCACCCTTGCATTGTCAAGAGTCTCCCACCTTTAAGGAGAATCAAACCCTTTTCCTAAATTCTATGAGATTTCTGACTTCCTTTTGTATATATATATATATAGTATTGAAAAACAAAGAAAGAGGAGGAATAAAAGGGTGATGGAAATTAAAGTAAGAAAATATAACACAAAAAAACAGTCCTTACTCGTTTATCAAAAAGATAAACTAATAATTACATTTAACGTATAAAACCTTCCATAATATTGTTCCAAAAGAGATGCCATGAAAAGTAGGGCAAACACACATTTTTTTAATATTAATTTATGGAGCTTACTTTATTAACAATATTACGTATTCGAGAAAACCCCATCTCTCTCTAGATTACGTATATATACACCAAAACAAAAAGATTAAAAATTAATGGAGAGATTAACTTCAACCATAAAAGTATATTATCTTTTCMAATCCCTTAATTAGCCCTTCCTTCAACCACCCCTATTTTATTTATTACATAATTTAGATTATTTCTCTCTCACAATGGGGTAATACCTAAGCATCTAGAGGCATTAATGGAGCCCCAATCACGTGGGCCTCATCTTATTTTAATACAATGATTAAGCCCTCCGAATATTTATAAATTATACTTTCTTACAGCTAATTAATCCAATTTTTTTATATAAAAAAGTCATATTTGATTTTTAAGTCAAATTTGACTCTTAGGGTTTGGCCGGCTCGGCTCGACATTTCAACTACCTATTTATCCAAACGCTCATTTTTAGTTGATTGTTTTTTTTTAATGCTAATTTGATAATAAAAAGGTTTTAAATTTAATGCACTATTCTTAGACTTTTTATTAGATTGTTAATAATGGCCTTTATGGCTTGTATTGATTTGTATTCGATTCGAGACTGATTATTTGAAACCCATTTTCTTTATATATAAATTGAGYCTTTCTTTTTTTCATTTAATTATTTGTATGTGTTTTAAATCTCTAAAACATCTATTTTACCCTTTAGATTTTACGTATATTTTTTATCTCTGTATTTTTAAAATATTCATTAATTATTATGTTATAATTCCGACTATAATYTTATCTAAGAGTTGAATGAAAGAATAACTTTTGGCCATGACAACTACATTTAAAAGCGATTAGGTTTAAATAGAATTTTAGTCTTAAATTTTAGTCCCTCAAATTTGATCAAGTCTCGGATTGAATCATTGCCATTAAAACCTTAAATTAACCCACAAAGAAAAACGATATTCATATGACTAGCTTTTTAATTATCTAATGCCTAGGGTTGAATACTAAGAACTTTTTATAACCTTGTTTTCATTCTTCTTTTACTRTATTGAGCACACTTTAACAGTTTAGCTAAATTTTTTCACAGCTTCTACGTGGGTAATTATGTGTATTGCCTATATATACTGTTATCTCCATCTCTTTAATTCTTAATTATACATATACATTAATCTATGATAAAAGTAAATCATGTTAACTTTTTTCGTAAATTACCAACTCCAATTTAACACAATAAGAAATAAATTTGAAACTTACTAAATTTGAGGACTAAAATTCAAAATTTTAAATGCTAGATATTATATTGAAATGAGACTAAATTTGAGGGAATAAATTTAACCTGTCTCAAGAAAGGAGGAGAAAAAAAA